AGATTGTAGAGCACTACATGCTTCCGTCTGCTGAAAAGCTCTATGGAGATGAGGAATTCATTTTCCAGCATGATCTGGCACCTGCCCACAGTGCCAAAACCACCAGTAACTGGTGTACTGACCATGGCATTACTGTCCTCGATTGGCCTGCAAATTCCCCTGACCTGAACCCCATAGAGAATATGTGGGGTATTGTGAAGAAGAAGCTGAAAGACACCAGACCCAACAATGCTAATGAGCTAAAGGCCGCTATTGAAGCATCCTGGGCATCCATAACACCTCAGCAATGCCACAGGCTGATTGCCTCCATGCCACGCCGCATTGATGCAGTAATCCGTGCAAAAGGATTCCCAACCAAGTACTGAGTGCATTAATGGACATTTTCAAATGTTTGATTGTGTTTTGCTGTTATAAATCTTTTTTTTTTACTTGGTCTGAGGAACTATTCTAATTTTTTGAGATAGGATTTTTGAGTTTTCTTAAGCTGTATGCCATAATCAGCAATATTAAAATAATAAAAGGCTTGCAATATTTCAGTTGATTTGTAATGAATCCAGAATGTATGACATTTTTGTTTTTATAATTGCATTACAGAAAATAAAGAACTTTATCACAATATTCTAATTTTCTGAGACAGTCCTGTATATTCAGCATGTATAGATAGAGTATGTATGAAACATTGATATATACATTTGATTGCAAAGCTCCTGGAATTATTTATTTTATCCTGGTATTGGGCTTTTTTTTCTCCACTAAGATTTGTTAGAAAATGTTTTCAACTTTAATTGACTGAATTTATTTAAGAAATTGGTTCAATGAACACATGCATGCTACTGTGTAATATATGTTTTTATATATTTAAGAAGTACAATATAAGATGTACGAGTTATATGTGTGGGCCATATTCCATTATACTTTTAGAATGTGCTGTGGGCTAATTAAAAATGGACAACGGGAGGCATTTGGCCCCAAGCCATAGTTTGGACACCCCTAGTCTAAAGTTACCCAGTTAATTGCAAAACGGACTAGTGCAATATCCAAATTGCATTAAAAGCAATATTTGGTAATCACAAAAATACAATTTCTGTCCTTATGAATAATGATTGGGGCTCTAGGGAATTCCCCAAAGTATACTTCAGACTTCATATTAACCTTTTTTTGTTATAGAGCTTCTTAAAAAAACAAAACACCTTGATCATTTTAATATATATGTTTAATGATAATGTAAATAACGTTTCAAAAATGATCCTCTTCAAATCATATGGCAATTGCAGTTACAATATTCAAGAATATTTGCTATTAGTTATTCTTTCCAAATCATGCAACCCTAGCCTAATGATCCTGCGGGAGCTCATTTGATAGAAATGTTAAATTGGGAATGAAGCGGGTAAAGCACCAAGCATCGTCCGTCTCCTCCTGAGTCAGTCAGGTGGAGGAGTGACCCTCCAGCTCCAGGCAGCAGCAGGGTCGCCCCCTGCTCCTCTGTAGTTAAATATGAACCTTCAACCTTCTAGAGTCGCTCTAATTGCGCGTTCTGTCTCTCCATATTTTTCTTTTCCTAACGCTGCTCCTTGATTCTCTTTCACTAGAGACAGACTCTGACACCTGGCATTAAGCTAGTCCGGGATGCTTGTTTTATTGTTTACACTTGGGTCGATAGCCTCATAAAATCCAATGTATACGAGCTTGCCAGTAGTGCACAGATTGTCTACAGGTTTGTGCATCCTGTTTATGAGGATTTTAAACGAGCCCCTGCCTCTGGAGAGGATCCAATGAAGTACAAGTAGTTAATAAGTGACAGTCATGGTTGAGATGGTGCTGAATCGGAGGTCGCAAAAACTGATTACCAGAGCAGAATAATGAGGGCAGAGCTTCTTCAGAGCAAAGTCCAAATCTGTATTGTTGTGAAGCGGCCGGAAATATTTAGAAGACAAAACTGCTTTTATATTGCACTTAACTGACAATATTAAACTGATTGGCTACGGAAATACCAAACAAGTGATAGTATCCTTTACCTCCCCTCAAAAATAAGTCTACCAATGTTTTTAGAATGAATTTCAAATCATATTTTGTCTTCTCATTAATAAAAGCATGTCTTTGTTAAATCTCTGTGTTGTGTTGTGTAGTGATTCTGGCCAAGTATGGAATGGATGGCAAAAGAGACACTCGATCACTGGAGAGCAACCACCTGAAGGACCACGACATCAAAGAGGGAGACACATTTGAAGATCCCAGGTTGGACAAACTCTGGAACAAGGTGCGTATGTGTGCAGAGGGAGAAGGAAGAGAAATGTTCAAGTATGTTTTGGGGATGATGCATTTTTTGTTGTGGCATTGTGAGGCTCTTTACTTCATGTTTCTGCTAGTAAATAGAAATATGAAACAGATTAAATTAAGACATGCCCCTCGAATCAGCTCAAAAATAATTGTACCTCTATTCAACAATGAACTGAATTCTTAACAGGGCACTCACACAGCAGCACTAGAAGGTCAACTCTTACAATTGCAAAGTAACTGCCCTCTTCAGATTTCAAAATCTTGTAATATGGCAGCTATGTGACAGGCATAGGCAGCTAGTTAGAAAAAGAAAATGGAGAACTGTGCTGGTGTACTGCAGCTTAATAAGAATTCCCCTTATTACGTGTTTGTAGTGTGAAGTTCCTTAAGGACCAGGGGCCTCATTTATAACGCCTTGCGTAGGATTCACGTGGGAAGGTTGCTTACGTAGTACAAAGCAAAAAAATAGGTACAGAAATGTTTCTAAATGTTCCGATTTATAAAACAATGCGTACGGCACTTCCTACGCCGGTTTCCCTTTATAAATCACAATCAACTCGAAATGCGGCGCAGCTTTTGCGGGCTTCACGTAACGCCCATATTTGCCTAATTTAAATAGTCAAAGAAACGCCCTTCTCTTCATTTCATTCATTTTGGACTGAAACCTCTGTTTGTTAGTCAAGCCTTCAGGACATGGGCGTCGCAGCCATTATATGAGGGTGGGACAAGTCCCCCCCACTTTTTTGAAATGATTAGTTTAGACCAGATGTTGTTTATTTTCGGGAGGTGGAGATAAATCATATTGTTTGGTGGATGCAGTTTGAACCAGATTAGCAGCATGGAGGTCGGATCGTCACCAAAAGAAAATAAATAAGTGGTCGGAAAAAAGGTTAATGACAACAAAAATACACATAACCTTCCTCAGGCAGTGTGTTTGTGCCGAGGACAGGAGACCCCCCATTGATGAGCAGCTGTAAGAAGGTATGGGGGATCCCTGCGGAGTGGAGTCAATTAATGTTTATTTTTTTATTTGGTGGTTTGTGTTCCAGTTATCAGCTGTGCGCAGCGTCTCCACTGCAGCAACTCTATATCCACCAGAGCAGAGGCAATCTTTTGTGACAACCTTTTAGTTTTTAGACCAATTGTTCAAAAAATATTTCTACTTCTTTGTAGTTGTGTGCCTACCAGTCAGTTCGAAATGTCATCAGTTCATCATTTCCCCCCATGATACGTTTGTGTGAAGGTCACAGTGACATTGACTTTATGACAATTGTAATGAGTTCGTCAATTTGACATTTGTGCCAAACATGGTTACGTAACAGCTAATTATATCTATTGTTAGCCCGTAGTGAAGCATACATCTAGGATACAGAAACTGCTTCACCAAACGGTGCAGGGTGGCCACTCTTCATCTCTCTCACACATGACGCATATATACTGTATTTGTGCTAACACACACGCACGCACGCACGCACGCATGCGCGCGCACACACACACATCGAGTGGGAGAGGAACAAAGAGTGTCAGTCGCCTCTCACCCATCACCCATTCAGTGTGAGTAATTAAGAGACACAGCAGCTAAGACCATTTATTTGTTTGTTCTCCTGGGGAAGTAAACTATCTGCAGCAGTTCAGTCTTTACGCCCGAGTCCTTTATTCTCTTCCCGTTCAGTTAGGAGTACTTTACAATGTCAAGCATGTGCCTACCTGTGGATTTTCTCCCTAGCCTCCTGGGCACTTGAAGTCTCGGTACCCAAAGTCAATTGTCGATTAAAATGCCACGAAGAGGGTGACAACAAAATATGCCTTCATAATTTGCTGAAACTTGCACCCATTATTTGCTTATATTGTCCCTACACCAACAAAATGTGCAGTTAGTACATTATATATTACAGCGATAGTTCATAAAAACAAATTAGCTCATGAGTATGCCCATAAAGAAGTTATTAAATAGAATGTAGCTTCCAAAAACATATAAACCTGGCATTGTGCCTCTATTATACCTCCATCGCTGCATTCAGTGCCCTGGACGGCGGCGTGCACACACACCCTCAGTCTACACACACACACGACAAACATCATTATCCTCCTTTTTTATTGGCTGTTTAGGCTTTTGCAAGGATAATGCATATTTTAATAACGAAGAAACCAACAACACTACATTTAAAATACTACATTAGCTACCAGGCAGCGGTCAAACCTAAGAATGTGGAAAATAACTTGTATAGTATGTAATACATAACAAATCATATTATAGTATTCAATAAAAAGAAGTTGGATGGACGTACAGATTTGAGGACAGCCATATGGAAACGCTATGCTTATGTTTTAAAGGCCATTAAAAAATGAACAAAATCATCTCTGACCAATTTAAATGTAGGAGTATAATTCAAATGTTTCGGCCAGTTTCCCTTTATGCAAACATAAAATCTTTTTTTGAAGAATATGCTTTTAAGAAAGTTTGACATATGCAATATATTAAGTGTAAAATGGTGTTGTGGTTTTCTCGTGTCCTGACAGTCCATTGACTTTAACGATTGTCAAATATGTTTATTCTATATTGCTGTATTTGATGCCATCTAAACCCTATCAAACATCTAGCAGAGACCTTTTCTCTACATGTCCGTTACTCCCTGCCTCTGACACTAACTCCTCTCTGACCGCTCCCTCCTCCAGGCCAAGAGCTCGGGGAAGTTCTCCAGCGAGGAGATGATGAGTCTGAAGAGGGAGTTCCAGCACCACAAGGACAAGACGCACGAGTACAACATCCTGATGGACACCATCAGCAGGACGGAGGGTGAGCTGCGTCAATCACTCCCTTGAGTCACAGTTTGTTATATCACTGTTTCTTTAAGCGCCCTTAATCCCTGTCCTCCTCTTTGCCATTCATCACTTTATGTTTTTAAATTCAGCCATTATTATGGTAAGTTTATAATTTGCATATTCATTCAAACATGGAGAATTTGGTTGCAAATTGAGACTATTTTAGCTTTCAGTTCAGCTTCCAAAGCAAATGTATGCAAAGAAAAGATGATTTGGCTCTTATCAATTCCGCTCTCAGTCATCCAACAATCAGTCCCAAGTCTGATTCGTCTCCGTCTGTGCGTTCAGTCTTGTGGTCATGTCCGCAGGTGGAAGGCATGGCGCTGCACTCAGGTCTGCCTACCGCTCTGTGCTTGTCACAACACATCAAGCAGAGTTTTCAGCGGATCAGATAGGCCCTGTTGTGTTGAGGAAGACGCGGGGAGGACAGGCACGTCTTCCTCTGACGGGCCTGACGCGCTGCAGCTGCTTCCTGTCAGAACTTTGCTGCTCCTGCTCCACAGCCTGTCCTCTGTGCACAAACCAGGGGTGTTTTTCTGCCTGTCTGGTGTATTTAAATATAGAGCCCATCACATGCACCTGCACAACACCACCTCCTCCACCCACGCACACTTTCACTGCCTTCCCCAGTCTTTGTATTGTCTTGTTTCTGTCTTTTGATCTATATGCAACTGTTGTCTGGTTGACCTGTGTCCTCTTTTCATCTCCTCACCTTTTCTTAAGGTGAGACGAGCAGCTATTTCATAAACACTGTCATAATAAGATCAAATGTAAAGGCTACTCAAAGTTCTCA